TGATTATTCTGCATCATTAAGCAATAAGAACAAGTAGTCTGATGTCCTGTAATCATTGTGAAGCTATATTATTATATTATAATTATAATTACAATTACATAATGCAATTCTATATTGTATTATGAAATACAATGAAACATTAGGTTTTGTACAGAGTATCGGTATCGGATCAGTATCGTCGATACCATCCTGGATTTTACTTGGTATCAGATCAGAAAGGAAATCAGTGGTATCGCACATCACTACCCAACGTCTCTCTTTCAATGCTAATGGTGAAGTCTCAATACATTTGAGACACTCTGCCGCCTTCCCAGGAACCTTTCCAGAGCTGATGTACTCCATTAGAGTCTTCTCCACAGCCTTTATTTCTGCTTCAGTCCACTTCCTTCTTGTGGTTTGTGATGCCCCTGAATAAAGTAGACAGTAACTGTGTTATTCAAAAAGAAGAGCATCAAGTTGGTGTGTAATCACATGACTCCCCTTATGACCAGATCTGATACTTGGAGTATGTCTACAAGTATAACAAAAACTATAGGTACATTTGGACTATACTTTGTACTTGTTGGTATTCCTCAAGTATAAGTACAAGAAATGCCCATAATGCATTGCAGCGATTTAACTGTAAACAAACTATGAAAGAATTAATTGATGTTTAAATAAATAATTTGTCAAACATTGTTGTAACATGATGTTTTACCTTTTGAACAGAGTGTGGGAAATAAAAAAAATAAAACTATCAGTGAGAAGAGGCAGTCAATAGAACTGCCCTCTCAATTACTTACTAGTTTTCTTAAAGAACATGACTGGCAGATTAACTATGAACATAGTTGCTGTAAATGAAGCACTCTGGGTGTTGTGACTGTCACACAACTGGTGACTTAAGTTTTAATTTGATACATGTGAAATGAATACGCATTTAACTATACTTTTTTTGTAAGGGACACAGTGAGGGTATAATGATAATGGTTCACAGCAATAGCAGCACACACAATACAGTAACTATTAACTGAAGAACCTGCAGCACTACCAGACATATCTGGAGCAAAAATGTCCATTATACCAGATACCATTACATTTACTTGTGTAATATTTTGAAAAAAAAAATTACTTCTAAGAGTAGTTTTACTGCACAATACTTTTTACTTTTACTTGAGTAGATTTGTGTTACCATTTCTTCTACCAGAGACTCAACACAGACCTCAATGTTCGGTGGCATCTCTTCATCTGACATTCCTGTCAAAGTAAGAACAAAACTGAGAAGGACTTTCAATAAATGCAAAGAGTATTAACAAAATAAACTTCCCTTTGCTATTTCCTAATACACTATGTTAAATTAATGTACTAAATAAAAATGACAGAAAAAGTAAAAGACATCACAGTAATAAAAGCTAGCAATCGCACTGGACAGCGTGCCCTCTATACAAGTAATGTCTTTCAAAAGAAAATCCACAATCATCTGTCTTACAATTACTAGAAATATTACCTTTGTCTGACTGTGAATATTTGTTTTGTCCAACTTCAGTAGTATAATTCTTTTTCATCCCTGATTTGTCTGTGGAAAAGTTATTTTAGTAAATAAATATTCAACACAGTGAAAGCAATCTTGTCATCAGCAAAGACTACACTTAGAAAACGTTCTTCAAAGCTTTATTAGTGCACTTGCTAAAGATAAAACACAACATCTTCTATTACTAATGGGACAAGGGCTGCTCATCCAGTTCTACACTGCAATAATGTGTTCTCTGTTCCGACATCACCGGTGTGAATCAGCCACAAAAGTGAACTAAACAAGATTACAAAGAACAGTCAGGACTGCAGAGAGAATCACAGGACCTATATCTTCAGAGTTCGGAAATAGCATTACAGACCCATCACAATGTGGACACAATCTGTTGCAACTTCTACCTTCTTTTAGATGTTACAGGAGACTATATACCAAAACATTGAGACAAGTGTCATTATTTTGATGAAAACCAACTTAAATCAGTTACAGTGTCAGTAACACCAAAACATCCACTTAGAGATTTACCTACAATTTGAAATGTACTGTTTTTAACATCTCCTGCGTGTTTATCTAATTAATATTTTCTTAGTATTTATGTATGTATTATTACCATTATGTATTCATGTATACATGTCTTTTATCAATTAAAAGTACTGACTGTTGGTTGAGGTGTATATTTTAATCTATAATGCATTCAACAGAAATAGTACTCTGTGTTGGGGAGCTGAGCTCTGCCTTTAGCCAGAAAGAACAGAAGAGAGGCTGCTGCACAAACACCACAACTGTATTTTCAGATACACTGATCTCGCTCACTGCTCTTTTGAAGTACTAATAAAGTTCATTACAACTTAAGTTGTAATAAACTATGGCCTTAAACTTTCCAGGCTACACAGGACTCACAGTTTGTGTGGCAGACAATCTCAGTGTTATAGGTCTGGTTACTCTTGCAGTCTTACTATACTGTGAAGATTTCCCTGACAGGACATGTTAGCTAAGCTAATAGACTCCAGCAGTGCACTACCAATAAACCTAGCAGGCTCTCTAATCACCTGTAACCTGCCGAATGCTAATTGCCTAATGTCAAACCTGCTTTAAGCCGCTGTCTATGTTACTGGATAAAATAGCGGCAGCTTTTCCAGTAGGATGCAGACCGTCCGCTTTCAGCTTGTCAGGGCGGCCCCAGAAAAAAGCCCAGTTATCCACAAACTGAAATCCCAGCTTCCTTCAATTCCTGGCCAGCCACGGGTTCATTGACATAATTCTGCTATACATCTCATTACCTACATAAGGGACTAGAGATATTAAATATACATCAAATAAGTTATTTGGATATCTAAAGTAAACTCACATTTTTTTTAACTACTTACATTTTTTAAAGGAGGTGATAAAAGCTTCATCTCTGACATTACCTCCACAGCTGCATTTGTGACAGAGACTGACAAGTTATAGCGTGAATCCATGATATGACTGCAACCTACATCTGGTATCTTTTTCTTGTTCTTAACCTGCAATAGCCCTTATGTTAATGGTAATACTTTAGCAACAGCAAAGTAATCCACAAGTTAGCAACATACCTGAAGATTTTGTCGATAAGAGTGAAGCAGATGAGAGTGCAGCAGATGACGCAGCATCTGTCACACTCGTGTTTTCCTCATCTTCACTGTTTGATGCATCACTGTCAACAGCTACGTTCTCTGGGAAACACAGCAACCATTTGGAAAAAAACATTAAGACTGCTCCTAAGCAATGTTAAGAAGTATCATACAATAGGGTATAGGCAGAGGAGGATAGCTGTAGTTAAAGCTCTGTATACATGTATACATATTTGTCTGAAGGTTGTCAGTCATCCAGATAAAGTTTTCTAGAAACTGCATCAATTGGACTTGTTAGGTTAAAGTGTTTTATTACTCTGCCAGAGTTTTTCTTCAGTCTGCAGAAAGTTGGTAGAACACAAATGTATCCACCAGGTGGGTTTCATTTCACACATGACCTGAAAAGGCTTATTACAAATGAGCCCTTTTCAGTCTCCTATTTGAGGCCTCCTACCAATTTTCCTCAGAAAGAAGCTCCTTTCATGAGTAATAAAACATTTGTAGACAGTGTAGAAGAACAGAACTTATCATCCACCGTGCTTACGGATGCACAGTCTTAGCTACTCTACACCAATGGGAGCTCTCATCCCTCATGGGCCATCTGCATAATACTGCATGATTTTTTAAATACTTCAATTTTAAATACACAATTTATTAACACATTTTTTACCTTGTGGATCAATGTTTATTTCGTCAAGATTTCTTCCTTTGAAATCTGACAGCTGCCCTCGTTCCATGGCCATAAGGACTTTGCTTATCTTGGCCAGCTGTAACGTCCCTTCAGGCAGTCTGTAATATTCGCGATGCACTCGAATATCATGGCCAAGGAAGTCTGCCAGATTATCCATTTCATTGTCTTTTAAGTTAAGGATCTTGGACATGGTGGCCATGTGCTTCCTTAATTT